TGGCCATATTTGCTGTATATCATGTTCCTTCACCTGCAGTGCTGCTTCTGTGACTCTTTACCTCCAGATTGCAGCTACAGAGCACATTTTCATCCCTAATCAGCTCTTCAGCCCAGGCAGGTCGATGCCCCTCCTTATGCCATTTCATAGGGCAAAGTAGGTCCTCAACACACATGGTGGGAGGTGGGAAGCAAAGAGGAAAGGAAGAAATGAGAGAAGAATGATTGGTTTGGATATGTGCCTTCTTTGTGTTGAGCAGGTTGCCTGGCACAGAGTGATTGCTCAACAAATGTCTGTTGGATTTAACCCAATTCTTCCAGAGGCCAGGAAACAAAATGTATGTACTAAATAGTTACTATATTTCAGAACTGTGCCATGCAGCTTATATATCTCCAAATTTATTCCTCACTATAAACCTGAGAATAGTTTATATTACTCCCATATCACACCTAATAAAATAGAGTTTTAAGAAGTTAAATGACATTCCTAAGGTCTCATAAATTCACATGTGTCTGATCGCAGAGCCCACAGACTTTCCCGACCATTCCACTCTCATATCATAGACTAAACACTTTGTGTTCAAGGAGTACCCAATGCCACGTTCACCAAGAGACAAATTCAGGGGTGGGTATCAAGAAGGATGTATAGTTTTTATTTTGGTACTCCATGAGTTCTCTTAGTGGTGTTAAGCCTCCCCATACCTGCATTGATGTGGCAAGAGTGGAATGCCTTTCTGACTATTTTTCTTTAGAACTTTTTGAGAAGACATTACATATCTTATCTGTTGGAACATCTACTTCATAATCAATGTTCTCAGCTTGTCAGAAACAAGAATGCTTGAGGGCATCCCTCGCTCTGAGCAGACCTTAGACTAGTCCATTGTCTGGAAACAGAAACATGGGGGTGAATGATTCTGGATCATACCTGAGGACATAGTGACACTGAGTGAGACTTTTAATAAGAGATCACTAAGAGGAAAGGAGTATCCACTCCAACTATCACCCTGATATTCTCTACTCTATGATGGTATTTTGCTCACACATTCACTCACTGAATGTGTATTTATTGAGTATCTAATATCTTCCAGAAAGTAGTCTAGACATTACTTAGGCAATGGTGAGCAAAAATCAGACTTGGCCTTGTCCTCTTGAAACTCTACTGGGAGAGATAAACAGTAATGAACGAACTGCAATGGGCAGGCATGATACATGCCATGGACAAGAGTTTACTGTGGTGGGATCTGACCTTGTCAGACTTCCTACAAGGAAAGGGTATCTGACATGAGAGCCACCTGGGAATACCAGGAGTGAGATGGGAAGCTCACTGCCGTTTGGTTCTTTACAGAAATCTGTATTAGATGCTGGAGATCAGACTGCAGTTCTCATTGCTGTCTGCACATCAGAATCACCTGGGGGTGGGGCTTTACAAAAATCAGTTTCTGAGCCAGACCTTCAGAGATTCTGATTAAATTGGAGAAGGGGCCCAGGAATCTGAAATCTTTAAAAGCTCCCCTACGTGATTCCTGTACACTGCCCAGGTGAGAGTCACTAAGTTGTACAGATGGAAAGATAGAGTCCCCTGCTCTTGAAGCACTGGTGGTCCAGTAGGAGGACATAGATGTGAAAATGGAACATTATAAAACAACATGGTCAATACTAGGATAGAGAGAGAGGGGTACCTGAGGGAGCCTCAGGGAATCAGGAGGCAACACCTTAGCTAAGTCTTGAAAGATGAATAACAGAGTCTCACACAAGTAAAGAGGTGGAGCAGCTCATCTCCAACATCAGGTTCTCATACAAACTCAGAGACCTCATTGTACCCATAAGACCAGATATTCTTCACAGCACTTATCACATTTATCCTTTCATGTAATTTGGGAGACTATTTAGTCACTATATGTTCTTCCCTAGTAGAATGTGCATACCATGAGGGCAGGAGCAAAGTCTGTTTCTGAGTCTGCCTTGTATTTTTAGTGTCTAGCATTGCCCCACGCCTGCTTGATGAATGACCAAATAACTGAACAAATTGCATGAAGAGGTTTGGGTAGATGAGTGACATGATCAGTTTCGCATTTTAGAAATATGCCTTTTAGTGCAGTGTGGAGACTGGAAGGGGGGAGGTGAAACTTGAGGCAGGGATTGGAGCAATGTGCAAAGTGGGGTGGGGGAATGGAATAGGTGAGAGAAGTATTTGTTAGGCAAGGCTTAAAGAATTGGTGGTTTAGCAGCTGGGGGAGAAGAAGAGGATGAAGCCATCAACTGCTCCCATGCTTGTGCCTGGAGTTGCTAGGGAGTTGGTGTTCCCATGCCAGGGAGAAGGACAAGCCTGAAAAGTGCATCTGAGTGATGTTGAAGGGTGCAGGTGAATCTGTCCTGTGTGTAACTGGATACAGGAACTTTGAAATTCAAGGGGGATATCAGAACATCATTTTACAGAAACTTCATGGCATTAGAAACTTGGAACTTCCTCTGGAAGGCAGAAAGATGGGGATGTAATCTCACTCACGCCAGTTTAAGCAGCACACGGTATTTCAAGGACATGTGCTCTTAGTATCTTCAGTGGCAGACTCTCAGGTTCCTGTCGGCTTTGACATTCTGTATCTTCAGACAGCTCTAGAATTTATAAGGAGGACTTTCTCTTGAAAGACTGTATCTCTCAGGGTGATTTACATTAACAGGAACAGAAACCCAACTTAAACTGCCTGTGACCCAAATTAAGCCAGGAAAGTAAGCATGTGACTGCCTGGGGTCTTGTATGAGAACAAGCCTGAACGGAGGCCACACTTGCCAGGAGAGAGCCCCGTGATGAATGAATGATGTCTGCTGTGGACCTAGAGGGATGCCGTATATTTTTGCCCACTCAGTTCTGAAACCAAAGTTTTCCCTCCATGGCCTTTCAAAAGCATCAAATTAATGTCTGTTGGACGTAGGTTCTACCCAGGCTCAGCCACTAGTAGTGGTTAACCTTCATTAAATCATTTCGCATGCCTGAGTTTGACAGTTTTGTATCCTATCAAGGAGGGGTTAAAATCACGGTAGTTGAAAGGATCAAATGAGAAAAGAAACATGGAACTGTGATAATCTCCATGAAGTTACATAAATGCACATGTGTAGTGAAACAGGATGTTGTAAGTGTGGATGACAGAGCAGCAAATATTTCTGGTCTTCCTAGAGATGTAAATTCAGAGATGTATTGGTAAGGAATTGATTTAAAGAAGTATAGATGATCTTTTAAGGAAATAATTGTAAGACAAAAGCAATAAAAGGAGGTCTCATAAATTTATCAAATAAGTAAGGAAAGGGAGGAAAGGAGGGAGGGAAGAAAGAAGGAAAGAAGTAAGGAAGAGGAGAGAAAGAAAGAGAGAAAGAGGGAGGAAGGAAGGAAGGAAGGAAGGAAGGAAGGAAGGAAGGAAGGAAGGAAGGAAGGAAAGAAGGTAGGAAGGAAGGAAGGAAGGAAGGAAAGAAATCAGTGCTGGAGCGTGTGATGAAATGGAGTGGAAATTGGTATAACTTTTGTAGCACACTTGGCAATATATATCAAGGGCCTTAATAATATTCACACCCTTTAAAAGTAATTTCACTTCATATAATTCATTTCAGGGCTGGATAGTAAATATTTCAGGCTTGTGGGCCAGACAGACTACGTGGACTCAAATCAACCACTGCAAAGCAAAAGCTGCCACAGGCAATAGGAAAATGAATAGGTGTGGCTGTGTTCCAGAAAAACTTTACTTTTAAAAATAGGTGGTGACTGGATTTGGGCCATGGGCTATAGTTTGCCATCCTCAGGTGCAGATTAAGAAAATATTTTAATACTATTCTAAACCCAAAATTCTAAATACAAAGAGAGCTTTAGTCTAGAAGATTCTCATCTCAGCTTTATTTATATTAGCAAAATATTGGCACAACTTGAATGCTCATCAATAGGGAGATTGATTAATTTTAATAGTTTAATTTATTCTATAAGCATTAAAATGTGTTTATTAATAATTTATAACAGGGGGAATGCTTGATAGAATATCACATGAGAAATCAGCTACTTATAATGATAATTATGATAATGTGGTAGCTCATATCTAAGTTCTTGACACACATCATGTCATTTAACACTCTGAACAGCTCTAAGAGATATATGCTTTATTGTGAGTATTTGCCTTGTGCAGAAGCCTACGTAATTTAGCCAGAGTTACATTGCTAGTAGTTGGAGGAGTTAGGGTTTGAATACAGGTCTGCTTAGCTGCTAAAAGCAAGCAAAAACACTAATAAAAAAATCCCTAATTCATTCTGTGTATTGAGAAGACCAGAAAAAAGACACACTCAAGTGTTTTTTTTTATCAGCTCTTTTAAGTGGTGAGGCTAGCAATTTCTCCGCAAGCTCAATATTTTCTCTAACAAGAAGTTGTCATTTTTATTTACTTGTTAAATTTCAAATTATTTTATTGTTTTTCAATTATAGTTGTCTGTATTTTCTCCCCACCCTTCCCCGCCACCCCCTCCAAACCCACCTCCTCCCCTGCTTCCACCCTCCCCCTTGGTTTTGTCCATGTGTCCTTCCTGAAAACCCTTCCTCCTGCTGTCCCCTCCCCCCTCCCCTCTGGCTATTGTTAGATTGTTCTTAATTTCAATGACTCCGGTTATATTTTGTTTGCTTTTTTCTTTTTCTTTTTAATAACACAGAAACAACTCTTGCATTTGATAAGAAAGCCAAGGAGGGCAGAGTGTTAGGTGTGACTGGTGGGAGAAGCGTTTATTTGAGAGGGTCTGGAGATGCTGTTGGGGATGCCCTCACCCCAGGGCCCTGCTCTTGTTTGTGAGAAGGACATGCCCCCGTCCTTCCTTCTGTCTGTTCCAGGTGGAGTTTCTGGTGTGTGTCTCGTTTGAACTTTTGGCCCACTTGGATGAGGTTTTCAGGTTGACTTGCCAGTTTCTAACCCTCTCTCTCTCTCCCCCCCTCTCTCTGCTCTCTCCTCCTCTTCTCCATTCACCTGTCCCACTGTCCAGCGGACAAGGTAAATGACGACTTCTACACGAAGCGCCGGCACCTGGCCGAGCTGGCCGCCAAGGGGAACCTACCTCTGCACCCTGTGAGAGTGGAGGATGAACCGCGGGCCTTCAGCCCCGAGCACGGCCCCACCAAACAGAACGGACAAAAGTCTCGCACCAACAAGACCCCCCCACATCCCCTGGCCTACAATTCCACCACCAACTTCAAGGGCTGGGACCCCAACGAGCAGTCTCTCCGGCGGCAGGCTTATGGCAACAAGGGCAAGCTTGGCACGGCTGAGTCAGGCTCCAGCGACCCCCTGGGAACTCGCCCCCAGCACTACCCGCCCCCACAGCCATACTTCATCACCAACAGCAAAACAGAAGTGACTGTGTGAGCTTTCGCTACACGGTGCATCCTGGAGGGCGCAGTCCACCAAGAGGCAGAAAGTAGTCCGGCCCACACCCTCCCTGGTCTCCCCCCACACAGCCACCTACACACTCTCCACACCAAATGACCAGAAACCTACTGATGACAACGGAGTCCCGTTTTTCTTAGGTCATACCTAACACCGGTTGGCGGGCAGCTGAGCAGGAATGAAGCGTGGACATCCAGCAATACAGCAAGGGGGGAACTGAAGCACCTTCTTTCGACTTCAGGCCTAAGTTTGCCAACTCACATGCCCAAAGCTGTGGGGCTAATTTTTTCTTTTCCTCTTAACTTGAAACTGAAATCCATGATGAAACATAACAGTAGCACAATTTAGAGAAATTGTCCATTTGAGCACATACACCATTTGCCAGGAGCTGTCTGTTTCTGGGGGAATGAACCAGGGTGCAGTGGTGGGGTAGAAAATGAGGGTGGACACTCGAGATGGGTGTGCTTGGAAAGAGGAGTCATTTGGGAGGAACCTGTGCACATTATAAGCATTTTCTAATCCCAAAAAGTGGTGACGTGGACACATAATTTTGATGGGTGTGAGACAGTAACTGGACCCTAACCATTTATAGTCCTTTTCATATCATTAATGTTGGAAGCAAAAAACAACACATACTCAGACTCACAAAGTGTAAATGACCCTGAACCCACCGACAGCGATGGGAAAGAAGGATGACTTTAGGACTCCCATTAAGACCATGACCATGGAAATGGGAGGGATGGGCTTTTATGGCAGGCATGGGGTCCAGAGAGTATTAAATAACATTTTTTAGAAAAAAAGAAAAAGAAAAATGAAATATAAGCCTACTATAAAACAGACAAGAACAACAAATTCAGTTTTTGTTCCAAATCTTCAAGACTTAGGAAATCAACAATGACATCAAGAACAATGAAAAGAAATATCACAGCTGAAAAGTCGACAAGAGGCGAGAAGGGGACCCAGAGTGTCCGATTTCTGGCGCATCCCCCTTGCCTCTGAGACGAGACACAGACACTAACCAGTCCTCCACTGTCAATCTCCGACTCCCTTCCCTTCAGCCCGTTGCCGCCGCCGCTGCCGAATTTCAACTGCTTTGGACTGAAAATGTCATAAGCGTGGGTGGTGCCTTCAATGTGTTACTGTTTAATGACAGTCTTATTTCCCAAGTGCAACCTGTGTTCTTTTAGCCTCCCTCCCTCCTGTTTTTCTGCAGTGATAGATGTTTTCATCTTCCCGTTTTTGGTGAGCCCACCCCATCACACCCTCTGAGAGGCTGCTGCAGTGTCAGGGGCACCTAAACACCGAGATCTCCCTGCCTCCCATGCTGTCAAAACTCCATGAGTTCTACCATTTTACACCTCCCCAAAACCGTCCAGCTTTTCTGCATCCCGTTATTCCCAGGGACCCTCTGGACCACCTCTCCAGATACTCAAGTGCATTCATCTCCCATCCAGAATTCCCTCAGGTTGTTTTCAGGTTGGTTCTCATGGCCAATAGCCCTTGGGTGTCCCAACAAAGGCAATTTTCATGCTAGTTCGATTTCTTTTGTGAAAGACCAAAGGGCGTTGTTGACAGATAACAGATTTGCATTTAAGGTGAGAAATTTTCAACTAGTCCGTAAAGGTCTTAGCTAGTTGGCAGGAATGTTTGGAGAGCCCCCTAGCTGTTCTGGTGTCAGAGGCTGGGTGTGGTCCCCAAAAGACTCCGAGCATCTCCTGGGATGCTGAACTCCAGGTTGTGCCTCACTGAGCTCTCCCTCTGACATCATGGAAACAGGGAAACTGGATGGGTCTTCTCCTATCCACTCCTAGCTGATCTGGGGATGTGGACAATTCTTTTATTTCTCTGGGCTTTAGTCTCCTACCTAAAACATGAGAAATGGAGGCCTGGTCAAGGTTTTAAGCTTTTTGAAATAGCAAAACTTCAGCCCACTTTAAAAACGAAATTGCACACAGAAGCCACTATATAGGAACTCCTTTCATAATGGACAAGGCTCTGTGCTGGACAAAACGGGTGGGAGACTTAGTGGCCACTTTCTCAGCCCCTTTGCAGGACCCCAGGGCTTCCCAGAGTGGAGTAAACACCACTGGGCTTGGTTTCCTTGACTCAGTTATCTGTGTACCTGCAACACACTTTTGGCATCTCTGTATCACCGGCCCAGTATTTGTAACTAACTCGATTCACTTTTAATACATCTGACTTTTAAAAGAAAAACTTCCTGCAATCATCACAAATAGAAAACCAGTATCAGTCACTCTAAATAGAAAGTAAGCATAAAAATAAGTACAAAGGCAACAAAGCAGCAGTTGTCAAGTTCTAGCCAGATGCTATTGTCTGTGGAAGGGTCTGAACCTAGAGTCTGGTTTGCTCTCATTCTCTCTCCCCCCCACCCTCCTTTTCTCCCCTCCTCCATTTTCCTCATCTCTCTTTTTCTTTATTAAAACAAGATTAGCAGATATTAAAGAACTGTTGAAGATATGCCAGCATCTAATGACAATTTTTCTCCTTGAAGTAACCAGATGGACTGACAAAATTGCAAAGGAAATCGTTTCCTATGTGACTTAATGTTAATTAGTGCTATGTCCATATACTACTGAAAACCATTTTGCATATGCTAATGGTATACAGCCCATGCTTTGGGAAACACTGGGCTGGCTTATCTGGGAGGTCCCCTCCAGCTCAAATGTTCTGTGGTTCTTGGCTCCCTCTTAGCTCAATTTTGCTCCTTTCCCTCAGCTCACTTCATCTCACTGATATCCCAACCCTGATTAAGGTTTGGTGTCTAAATCTACAGGATTTTCTTTATTCTCCATGTTCCTTCTCTTCTGAGTCAACATCATGCAGTGACTTTGTTAGCTGGGGGTCTGCAGCCACAATCTGGGCAGCAAAGTTGTGGCATGGTCAAAAGGATGTAGCAGTAATGACAGTCTCATGACCTTCCAATTGGATTTGGGAACCAAACCTAGGTGGGGGAGTGTAGCCAGGGACGTATACTCTTTGGCCTCCTTGGGGAAGGGTGAACAGACCACATGATGCTGAAAGAGGATCACAAAAGATGACCTAGGGAACTGTGACTGCCATGGATCCACAAGGACCCAACAGCTAGAGAAGGGAGACAGAAGAGAAAGCAGAATGAAGCAGAGAGACTGTTCCTTCTCCACCCCATGCCCTGACACTAGCCTCTACTTGCCTTTACCTGTCCCAACTTCCAACCCCATGGGACCAGTCTGACTTCCCTTGGCCCTCCCAGAGCATCTCAGCCTCCATCCGCCTTGGGCTCTGCCTGGCCTCCCCATCTAACTCTCCCCAGTTTTTTGTGCAAATGGAGCATATTTTATGTGCGAATATTTTAGTAACCGTATGTTCTGCAAGTAAACCTGTGTTAATACTTGTCAACAACTGCAGAGTTTATGATACCAATAACACTTCCTACAATGAAGAAAAAACATTTGTTTGTTTTCTAAGAATGTTTATTTGTAAACATATGTATTCACTATATTAATATGAATTTCTTACCTGGCAATAAAACTGACTATATGTGATGCTGTTGGGGTTGCCATGGATCTTTCTAAGGTTCCATATTCTAACCTGAGTTTTCATCAGAGCACACCAATATTAGCATAGAGAGCTACATTTTTAATACCTGAAATGTGTGGGAAATCTTTACCAGTAAAAGAAAATTTTAGTTAATAGCAACTTACACAAATTTTCCAGGACCCTTTTTTGCTTGAAGCTTTTCTGATAACTTTGTGTTATGTCTATTAGGTCACTCCCTGTCTTTAAAAAATGTCACATTGCTAGGTCTCCATAACATAATTAAGTTCACTCTTAGTAAATCTTGCTAAGATTTGCACTTTAGTTTTGTGTTTTGTTTTGTTTTTGTTACCAGTGACCAGGGTTGTAAAACATATAAATATTAAAAAGATGGGATTTTGGATTCTTTCCCTACTTATTAAAATTTATTCTTTCCTGGCTTCTGTTAGCATTAAGTTTGAAATTTTCAGATAGAAATCTGCCTTAGTACAATTCCCTCAAAATGGGCTCAAGACACAGATTTGACTACAAGTAGTTTGAGAAGTGAAGGGAATGCTGGTAGGAGGTGGGGGAGTAAGGCAAAGAAAGAAAAGCGATGGATACTTATCATGCCAGCACCTGCTGTGAGTTCCTGGAGTTCAGTGCTGCAGGGGGACTTGGAAAATTGTGTGGAATTATCATACCCTGAGAATAACTGCATCCAAATGGAGATAGAGCTGGGGTGTCTACACACCAACTACCACCAGCCATCATTCGTGGATTGCCTTCAGGGAATGTTAATATTCAAACAATCCCAGCCTGTCATGTGCAAAGGTAAAAGTATTTCCATGGCATCAGAGAAAGCCCCAGGCACAAAGATGCGCTGGCTGGTAATTGGAAGTCAGCCATCATGCACTGAAGTTCTAAAGACCCAAGGGATAGAGGCACAAGTCCACAGGGGCTGCTCAAAGCCAGAAGTCCAAGGTGTCCTAGGAAAGAAGTTTCCACTCACCAGATACTTAGAGACGTGTATTGATATCAAGCAAAGAGGATAGTGGACCTCAGTCTGCAGTCAGAGTGGGGGTTCTTTCACTGGGATTGAGAGACCCTTCACTGGCCAGATGGTCACTTGGTGTCTCCCAAAGGAGAAACTGTGGGCTTTCTCTCTCTCTCCCTCTCCAGTTCTGGTTATTGGAGAAGTCTGGACAGCAGGCAATGCTCCTCCAACACTTGGGAACTGTCCAAGGGGAGAGTCACTGATCAGCACACATCCCAACCCCAGAGATGCAGTAGGACAGGGAGCCTTACTGTTGGAATTGAGGTGGGGTTTAAACACTAAAAAGTCACTAGTGAAGCCACGTTGGTTATAACTCACACAACAATCATATATGGTATGCTTGTAGAGCTTCCACTATGTGTCAAACACTGCTGAAGACTACACACATTGTCACATTTAACCCTCCAAAATGTATAGGTAGGCATTTTTAGCTTCAGAGGTGGGAAATCTAAAACTTGAGTAATTCTGACCAAAGTGATTTAATGAGTAAGTGGTGGAACTGGGGTTTGAACTCTAGAGCTCATAGTAACTACTATTTATGTCAGTAGCTTTCACTTGAATGAACATGTGAATCAGTGTGGAAACATGACAAAAATGCTGATTTTCATGCTGATTCCATAGAGAGTCAGGTGAGGCAGGTCTGAATGGGAGCCCAGGATTCATCATTTGTAACATACTCCATCATCACAGTGCAGTGGCTCCTGGACCTCACCCTGAGAAGCCTAGCACAATGCCACGTTCCCAATGTTCCAACATCTATGGACTTCACCTGAAGGCCCTGGGATGCAGAAGAAAATGGAATGGAGGTGTGTGCTTGCAGAGAGAGGGACTTTCATTTCCCTCTGTGTATTCACTATATTCATCCTACATCATGTCCAATGCTGTAGGATCCTGTTTTATAATTGGCAGACAATATCTCTGGAAGAACTGGTTGCTGGTGTTGATTCCAATACTAATTTGCTATGTGCCTGGGGCCTGAAACAAGCCCTCTTTGGGACTTTTTCTTCATCCCAAGAAGGGGTCTGGGATAGCTAATCTCCAATCCTGCTGTCTTGCTTGATTGAGTGTTCCTCCTCATTGTCACTGTGACGTTTGGATAGTTAACAGTCAAGTCCCTTATCACTTCCATAATTTTGCTCCTGAAGGAAAAAGGATTTTGCTGTCTGTAATATTAATCATTATTGTGAAGGCTTCTGTGAACTGAGCACTTGCAAGGCACCTAGCTTTGTGCTCATGGCCTTGTGTGGCTCTAACAGTGATGCTCTTAAGACCTGTGTACCATGAACCCCTTTGACGATCCCATGAAGTCTGTGGATCCTTTCTCACAATGATAATTTTAAATACGTAAGATACATATAATTACAAAATAAACATCACAGTATCTTGAAATACAGTAGTGAAAATACTTTTAAAATCCACCTTTGTGATAGAGTGACATGTGATTTTTTCTAAGTAATGCATTAAATAACAAAATCTAATAACAGGTTTCAATGTGGTGATGAACATCAACAATTCTTTGAGCTACCTCCTACCAATGCAATTTAATCCAACAGTATCTGTGATTCTTTTGGTGACATAGTCCCAGGTCAGTGTTAATATGATAGCTTGTTGTATACATTTATAATTGAGAGACATACCAAATTCTAATTAGAGGCTAGAGAAAATAAGGACTTTTTTTTATCGTGCACATTCTCAAACCCACTGAATTTTATCCAGAAGCCCCCTTGAGGGCCAGTGAGCCTTGGTTAAGGACACATGCACTAGTAGGACTTAGAGCTACTTACCTATGCTCTCCATGGTTCAACTTTCTCATCTCTAAAATAGGGATAATAATAGTATTGCCATCATTGGCTGCCATGAGAAATAAAACAATAGACTAAAAGACAGTAATTAACACCTAGTAAACACTTGGGAGTTAGCTTTTGTTATAATTATTATTTCAGTGAATCCTTATGATAATCCTATGAAGTAGCACTTTTATTATCCCCCCACTTCCAGAAGAAGAAATTGAGGTTCAGAGAGGCCAAACTTGCACCAAGTAACACAGCAAGCCAGTGAGTGACAGAGCTGATTGAAAGCCAAATCTTTCTGATACTACCTCAAGGTCTTGCCCACATAGTATGTTGTATAATTATTTTTCTGCAATTATATTAAATGTCCTCACAACTCTCTGGGATGAGGCCAGCCAGGCACTGGGATAGATCATGGTAATAACCCCAGTTCTTTACCCCTCCCCAAGGAGAAAGGCAGATATCAGAGGTTCTGGAAGCTCTTGCCAGACTTGTCTGGGGATGATTTATTTAAAGGCATGTTGGGAACAATTAATAATAATGTCCTCCTATTCAAAACAAACTTTTCCCAGCCCAGTGCTTAGAAGATCCCCATTAAAAGGAACTCACTGTCCCAGAAATTTTCAGATTCTGTTTTTTAAAATCAGTCCCCTTAGAAATATAGCCATTCCCTAAAACTGAAATAAGTCTTTCTCACAAATTCAGACAGTCTTAGCCTTAAAAGAGAGCAATCTTCATGATGATAATAATAGCAACAATTCCTTCCATTATCAATTATTGAATTTTCATTATGTGCCAGGCACTGGGGTAGGCACTGTTCATACATTGCCTCATTTTCTTCTCTCAATAGTGCTCTGAGAAAAAGGTATTATTCCCATTTTCTAAATGGGGAAAACTGAGGCTTAGAGAGATCAAATGACTCATCCAAGATCATATATCTAGTGAGTGGCAGGGTTGGAATTCAAATTCAGATTTACAAGATTCCAAAGCTAATCCCATCAGAGTGATTCATTTCACTCGTTCATGATCCATTCCTATGCTTGCTTCCTTTGGGCTAGAAACTATAGTGTATACTAAAATTATTCCAAGGAGATACAGTTAAGTCCAGGGGAAAGTGTATTCTTCTAGATCAGATGATACCAATAGTCAGTATCCACTCCTAGCAGCTGCCACTGACCTGGGGGCATCAAACCAGCCTGATGCTGCCTCAGTTGATGTTTCTATACTTCAAGTCTGTTCTTCAACAAAACAGACGATGCTCAGAATGTTTTAGTTTAGTTTCTGGTGCAGACGGACAGCAGGACCAGAAGTGGCCTCTGGGATGAGCAGACAGGAAACTAGAAATTGTAATTTTGTATGATCGTGGGAAAGTCACTTCCCCTTCATAGGAAGCAGTGTAATCTTTTGGGTAAAAGTGGGACCTCTGGAGTCAAGGCATCCATGTCTGAATTCAAATGGGCATTATCATAGCACCTGTCAGAGGGCTGTTATGAGAATGATATAAGGCAATCTACATAAAGCTCTAAAAATAGCTCCCAGACAATATTATTTTCAAGATTTTAAAACTTCATTTGGACATCATCATATACCCCAGAATCTGCAGAAGGGATTAGAAGAAATACCAAGTTTCCTCGAATTGGGTAAGATGTATCTGAACTTGGTATGCTGCCATTTTTTTCAGTGCTTTGGCTGTTGGTGATGTTACAAGCATGTTAGAGATCTGATTTTATTGCAAATCCTTTTGGATACAGTCTCAATGAATTTTAAAAATGAAAAAGAAAATAAATTCTTGCTCAAGGAGTGGGGTTTTCTCGATGGGAGGAATTTTTCAGATCTAGAGGTCTATAGGGAATAAAATCCTAATTAATGAAATTCATGGTAATAAAATAGATTGTAAAATCCTGGTTTCAGATGGTTTGTTAGTTATCTATTGCTGCTTAACTACATAATTACTCTAAAATTTAGCAGCTGAATACAACATGTATTTACTATCAGGGTCTGGAATCTGTGCATGGCTTAACTGTGTCCTATGTTGCAGTGGTCTCTCAGGAGCCTGCAATCTAGGTATCAGCCAGGGTTGGAGTCTCATCTGAAGCCTCAGATGGGAAAAGATCTGCTTGCAAGCTCACTTATGTAACTGTTGGTAGGAT